ACGACTACGACTACGACTACGACTACGACTACGACTACGACTACGACTACTGCTGCTGCTGCTGCTGTTACTGCTACTACTATTACTGCTACTACTATTATATACTGCTACTACTACTACTCCTGCTGCTACTACTACTACTACTACACTCACAGGCACACGGGCACACCTTAAGATATTGATTTCGTGGCCGGCGCGGGTGTCGGTTAGGGAGGGCGCAGCGCCCCCCCCCCCAGCAGCACACCAGATCCAAAGGTGAGCACGGTCGCGTCACAAGTGAGCCAGCAGCTCCGCGTCACATCCGAGTCCGAAATACGCGTCACCAGTGAGACCCTTTCCATTATACTGCCTGTTGAAAATACATCTCCCATCCAAGCACCAAAGACACTCTATCATGGAACCACCAACAGATGGGGCACTCGCGCAACTCCGTGTAGCGCCTCGTTGGCCCGGGGTTTGATTGGTTTCAAATTGGACCACGTCTTCCACATGTTTCTGTATGCTTTCTGTGCAGTGCTACATGTGGCCTGGGGCTAGCAAGCAGTTTGCTAATTTGAGGGTGTGGACCTTCACAGGGTTGGCGAGTTCCGATCAAAAACACGCAAAAATGCTCAACTCGTCGGCCTCTCTGTTGCTTTTCCTTGGCAGATTTGGTTTGCTGATGGGTGGCAAGGATGCATGATTGCAGAATGCCCAATGTTGCCAAATGATATCCTCTGCCCCACAGGTGTCCATGGAAGCAAACTCATGGTTTGCAAGCGGCATTTTGCCCAACAGACAAGAATACTGTGATTTGTTTTTCCTCTCAATCTGTGGCTGCAACTGCGGTTGCTCTGCCAGGAGGATGTGGTCGACCATGGTGGGCACCTTTGACCTCTTGACGCGCAAGCCATGTAATCCGAAACACTGATTTCAATGGCCATATCATTCTCCAACCTCTTCTTCATCATCGCTCAAGGCATGGGCCATGATAGCTCCAATGCCTCAATGCGCTGGTGCTGTATGGGCGCAGAAAATTGAAAACAACTGGGTCTCGGACAAGTTCCTGCCTCTGCACCCTGGACATCTTCGTCATCTGCCTCTTGGTCATATTGCCCAGCTCCCATGTCCATAAACAAACAATACACAGATATAAAAAATATATATATATATAAACATATATAAACAGTATCATTGACATTTCATTTCATGCCGTAGAAGACTCGAGCCAGCTGTCCAGCATATTCCACCTAAAACACGGGGACGACGCCTCTACTGGTAACACGTCCACTTCGACCATACAGCCTCAGCCGTTGACAAAATAACTACCCAAAGTTCGCCCCCATATTAGTCACCAAGAACAATCAGTTTCTGCACACCAAGTCCTAGACCTAATACAACATCGCGCCCACATCCCAACACGGCTTGAACCAGCGCACGCGTCCCAGCGTTGGCATCCAAAAAAATGTCTGTCGAGAGATCCCAACCAACATAAAATGAAAACAATTGAAAACACACCAATTGCACAATTTAAAGCAATGACATCATACTTGACGATACAGTGGATGGATTTTGATGGGGCGGCCTTCCTCAACCGACTGCGCTGGCGTGCAAACCTCTGGCAGCTGCGTTTCCTCTCCCCGCCGCCCGCCCAATTGGTGCAAGGTTGCATGCGTGCAAAAATGATGGTTTCATTTAACCTCCCAGGCCACCGTATTGTAAAGTCGCGACCTCGACCCAACCAGCGTTTCCGTCATCTTTCGGTTCTGATCCACTCTTCAGGACCTAAACCCTACTTGGCGCTCTTGGCGCCTGCCCTGTTTTTGATCTGGCTTTTGTTCGCGGTAGCGGCAACGACCCTGTTTTCTGACAGGGTTCGTGCGACCTTATTTACACTCTTTCAGCACAATAGCCACTGCATGCCAGTGCCATGTATGGTCGGGGATCCGGTTCCTGGCGAGAAAAATCCTTGCCTGGTTTCACTTTCCATGCTGTCCATCTTCTCTATTCTTCTGCATCCTAATTCACCGTTTGTTGTTTTTGCATCACATTTGTTCCTGCTATTTTGCACCCCCTTTTCCCAAACCAGCAAATACCTGCAGGCTATAGGGGGTCCAACTTCTCAATGTGCTTCTGGGTCGGCGTTTTGGTATTGGAGGTACTGCTGCCGTTTGATGTTCTTCTGGGCAGGACATGCTGTCTGCCCTGCCATGACATGATGCCATCCCTGGCGTGATCGGGCATGACCTGACATCCACCCCTGGCATGACATGATGTCATTCTGGGCATGACACGTTGTCATCCCTGGCATGACGCAAAATGAAATGCCGATGCGCTGGCCCCTGCACCAGCAAGGCACCAGCACCGGCCAAACAAAACGCCGGCTGCAGCACAACGCCGGTCCAGAGCCAGCGCCTGCACCCGGCACCAGCACCAGCAAAACAAAACGCCGACCCAGCACCAGCGTCAGCACGGCAGCAGCACCGGCAAAGCCAAAATGCCGACCCAAAGCCAGCACCAGCACCAGCACAGCAGCAGCACCTGCAAAGCCATATAATATCATGCCCAGGGATGACATCATATCATGCCAGGGGTGACATCATGTCAGGCCAGGGATGGCATGATGTCATGTCATGCTCAGACAGCATGTCACGCCACGGCTGACATCATGTCATGCCTAGAATTATGCCAACGATGACATCATGTCATGCCAGGGGTGACATCATGTCTTGCCAGGGCACGTCGTGCTCAGAAAATCTCAGGAATCAAGTCACGCCAGGGGTGACATTTCTGGTTCAAGCCCTTATTGCTTCACATTAGCACCTTGCAAGCAGGCAGGATGAAGTGAAGAAGTCTCCATGACGGACTGTCCTTAACCGTGCCCCGTGGAGCCTGGAACCACGTAAAACCCAGTCAGTGCGCCATCGGCACATCTGGAAGCTGGCCAGTATAAAAACAGCTCGTTTCACTGGGGCTTCTCAACAGCAAGAAGGGCCTCGAAAAAAAAAAAAAAAACACGCAAACAAAAATTGGGCGCAGGCAACCCACTACAAAATTGAAATCCGCACTCGGCCAAGTGGACTTCTGTTGCATTCTGCCGGGCCCTGGACTTGGCCCTCGGTTCCTTGGACTTGTTCCTCTCTAGTTGGCCACCCGCCACACAGGAACACATTGATCTCACAAGCCCGCCTCCGGCCGAAGATGGCATCCTACACGGCACCCCGCCATGCCCCAACACAGAAGCGGTATGCACCATTTGCCTTGGCACCGCGCAAACAACAACACGCGAACCACTCTTCATGTGGCCACTTTGCCACCACGAGTTTCACTTGACTTGCGTGGCAAACCTCCGGGCCCACAACAGCATGCCGCCGACCTTGGGGCCCACGCACCGAGACCCACTTCCAGCAGCTGTGCGCCCAGCACGAAATCCTGATCCCTGAGCCTACCAGCCACACCCGCCCAGAACCGGCACACAATGGGCCACCGGCACCACCCACAGGCATTCTGCCTTTGTGTTGCAACCGGCTCATCTTGCTTGACCCTGCACATGCAGACAGAGACGAGGCGTGGAGCACTGGAGGCCTGAATGATCCTGAATGGGTTTGTTTGCGGTGCAACACCAGTGTCACACCAGAGCACCACTTGCTCCAACAAGTCCCGGAACCACCACAGTGCCCCCACCATGGCCAAAGAACATTGGTCCTCGACCTGCAATGGGGGGAACGGGGGTGGGCTTGCATAAACGGCATCAACATCCAGTCCTGCACACCCACGGCTTTGCCAACCCAGCCAACCGCCACCAGACACGGGGCAGAACCACAAACACCAGAGCACCACCCCAGGCCCTCGTGGATCACCCACGGGCCACCCCAACACGAACCCGGCCCAACCAACAGTTGGCTGTACGTGCCAATGCTCCACGCCGGGGCCAACCGACTGCAACCCCCAGCGGTGGAAGCATGGGCCCAAGATCACCGCGGCAACAACGAATGGCAAACACTGGCGCAACACTTGCGAGAGGCAGCCCCCGTGCCATGGCAGCAATTGTACAACGCCCTCCTGGTCTTGCAACAAGTCACGATCCGTGATGGCGGACAGCTCTCTACCTTTGAAACTGATCCCAAGGGCCCTGTCCACAGCTGCGGGTTCTTTACCACCCGCTACACACATCCACCTACCATGGGCCCTCAGCCGAATGACAGACAGCTCAGGGTACGTACCGGCAACTGCACAGGAAGCACTCCTGCACACGTTTTTGGGGGAACGACCGGCAGCCACAGCGGCCGTGTTGGCAGACCGCTGGCGGCGACCCAGGCCAGCAGAACCACCAGCTCACACCACCCCCCCAACCCGCACCCGACCAGCACAACCGACTGCCAACCACGATGGCCACGGCCTACCAGCAGCAGCAGCAGCAACAGCACCAGTAGCACGTCGTCAAGCCGCAGCACCAGTCCCTCACCTAGGAGCAACAGTCGGCCAGCGCCTGCCCCACCGGAAGCACACCCAACAGCCCAACCCACAGCGGGGACAACACGGCCCGATGACGACCACCAAGCAAAGCCCCACGGCAACACCACGCTGACTGACCGCCAGCTCAGACAAGCCTTACACCAACTGGAATCCACCAACCTTGCAGCGACACTGAGGGAAAAAATCTTCATGTTCACCTCGCCACCCGCCTTTGTCCGAGGCAGGTTCCGGGCCGCCCTGCACTCAGCTCTGGAATGCATTTGCAACGCCACCAGTGAGGCAGAAAGCCGCCATTGGCCATTGCATCCCCGTTAAAATTAACAAGGTTGGGTTGGGGATCCAATTTAGTAAGGAATTGCCTTTACAAAATGAGTGTGCATGCATATAGGCTTACAAAATGATAGGATTTGGAGGAATAAACAGACTACAAAATGATTGGATGTACATCTAGAATATTACTATTTTCTTACTAAATTGATGGGACCAACCCAACAAAAAATTATGACTGTACCCAACCCTGGGGCTAAAGAATGACCGTACCTGAAAAGAAATCATATTTAAAAAACATACCAAAAATTACCCTTACAAAATCCACATCCCCAGACAAGAAAAAAGACACAAAAACAACTACAAAATGGGATCCCCCGTTGCATCCTGAAAAGAAGTGTAAAAAAGGATCATCCCACGATCCCCCTTTCAATCCTGCTCGCTGCCCCAAGAAATGCAAGGCCCTGACTCTTGTCCGCTCATTTCGCGGAGGTCTGCCTATCGCAGACACCACATGCTTCCTTCTAGCAACCCACCTCTGAGAAGGAGCATGGCCAGTCTGCATAGCCAAGCTATGCGGATCAGGAAGTGCCAAGGAGAAGGCCTCTTCCTTTTCTATCTAAACTCTCTACCTTACAAAATGAGAGGGTGTTGAGAAGAGTGTACAAAATACCTGTGCTTGAAAAAATAGTGGTTTGAACATGGAATCTCCGTTTCCTCAGATGAAGGTCTCTTCCTTTCTATCTAAACTCTCTACCTTACAAAATGAGAGGGTGTTGAGAAGAGTCTACAAAATACCTGTGCTTGAAACAACAAAATAGTGATTTGAACATGGAATCTCCGTTTCCTCAGATGAAGGCCTCTTCCTTTTCTATCTAAACTCTCTACAAATGTTTTTGTACTACTAAATGACCCCCCAATTTTTTAGCCAAAAGGTAGTTTTCTTACCAAAAACTTTTTGTTAGTGGACTCAACCCCCCCAATTTCGTAGGGGAAATGCACACGGGGATGCCATTGCTACTGGTCAAAACCTTCTGCAAGTTTCGGATTGTTTCTTGCTGAATGGCGGCAGAAAGCACAAGAGCATGGAAGTTGTGGCTCCTTTCATCCCGAAAGCGGCCTGGCAACTGGGGCCAACTGCTAGCCACAGCCAGCACCTGCACACAGCAGCCTAACCCAGAAGCCATTTCGCAATACAACAGTGACCAAAGACGCAGGGAACGAGCACAGCACCTCGTCCACCAGGGAGAACTTTCAGCAGCCCGCCAGGCCCTCACCGCGGGGCCCACGGCACCTGGTACAGCAGCAACCCTTGCGCAGCTACGAAATCCAGCAGTTCCAACCCGAAGCGGCATTCCGTCTCCCGACGGAGACACTGATCACAGCCTTGCGCAAGTCCCGCAAAGGCACTGCCCCGGGCCCATCTGGTCTCACGGCTGAGGCACTCCGAATCGTCTTCGACGACGAACACACCACAGCCCGTTTCCTGGACACGTGTCAGCTCTTGGCACAAGCCAGCATACCACCCAGCATCGCAAGAGCCATGGCCATGGGACGCATCGTCGCGCTCCAGAAAACAAATGGTGGCATACGAGGACTGGTGGTAGGTGATATCGTCCGCCGCGTTGTGGCCCGTGCCATCGCACAACATTTCGCACAGGACATCCACGCAGCATGCACCCCCACCCACATGCCCCGTCCACTCGTGCTGGCACAGGGGCAGTTGTCCACGCACTCACTACGGCCACTCACACCAACCCCACCAACACCATGCTCTCCATCGATGGCGTGGGGGCTTATGACTCATGACACCATTTCCAGACAAAGCATGCTACAAGGCTTGCTCCACACCGAGAGGGTCAACAGTTGCCTCCCTTTC